AATTCTGATTTGGAAAACCTCAGAAAATTGTTAATTGCCAATAAACTTAGTCTAAATATGTAGCTAAGACAGAATTTATGTTAATTGTTCAAAGGCAATGATTAAAAAAAATTCTGATTCACGTTTAAATGTTTTCATTGAAAATAAGCAAATTAAACAAGTTAGCGAATGCAAAACTCTTGGAGTAATAGTTGACCAGCATTTGTCTTGGAAAAGTAATTCCGAAAATATTTGCAAAAAAATAACTGCAGGAATCTCTGCTATTCGTCGAGTCAAACCTTTCGTTGACAAAGATACACTCATTTCGATATATAATGCTATTGTTCGCCCATACTTTGATTACTGTTGTGAAGTATGGGATGTGTTTGGTAAATCACAATCAAAACGACTCCAAAAACTTCAAAATAGAGCTGCTAGAATTATCTTGAACATGAGTAATGACGTAAATCATTCCATTGCTCTACGTGCATTAGGCTGGGAGCCACTCAAAACTGAAAGGAAGAAAGCTAAGGCAAAAATGATGTACAAAGTATTAAATAAAATGGGTCCTAAATCACTCACCAATCTTTTTTCATACAAATGTGAGAAAACAAACTACAACCTTCGTGACATTTCAAGCGGTCTTAGTTTACCAAAACCGCGTACTAACAACATGAAAAATAGTTTCATGTATGATGGAGCACACCTTTGGAATTCTATTCCAAAGGAAATTAGGGAAAGCAAAACTCTTTCATCCTTTAGAAATAAAATCGCTGCTCACAAAATTGACATAGAGTAAATTGATGTAACTGTAAATATTCTAATAACCTTCTTATCATGTAAATAATTTAATATTCTACCTTTTTAAACTTAAGTATTTTAATATCTCCCTGTAACATTTTTCTATTTTTGCACACGCCCCCCGTGGAAATCAGCTTCGGTTGACGGGGTCAGCGTGTATAAATAAAGTTTCTATCTAATACTTAAAACAAACCTACCTTCGTTAACGTCGGTGCCTTTACTTCCTTCTTTTAGTAATTATTTCGCCTTTATTTTCTTAAAAAGGTTTTGAAATTCACAAAATCGATATCTTGCAAAAATGAAATATATATATTTGCAAGAAATCATCATTCATCAATCATCAAATCAAGAAATGTTTGCTATTTCGCTGTCGTCATGCAGTCGTTATAATGCAAACTTTAAATTTGACCAATCGGTGTCCGCTATTCATGACAGTCCGCCATATTTTTGAGATCAGTGACGATGACCATCAACCGAAACTTCGTTGGTGACCCACGCCAGTGATCATTGATGAACTTTAGACTTCGCTAATGCTTTAAATTCGTTTCCCTGGGTGTAAATAGCCGGGCGGAATTAGTACCCTCGCCCCGGGCTTACGCCCGGAACGGCGCCGTTGGCTCGGGGACAAACATTACATAACCTTCAGGGTAGTGCCTCCATATAATCATTCATATATTATTGCTTCGTTCTTTAAAAACATTGCGCAACTGAATTAAATACAGTAACTACAAACAGTACATAGATCCTTCAGAGCACAGCCTCTATAATTATATAATCATTCATATATTAATCTTTAATGCTTCGTTCTTTAAAAATATTGCGCGAATTAAATAACTACAAACATTACATAACCTTCAGAGTAGTGCCTCCATATAATCATTCATATATTATTGCTTCGTTCTTTAAAAATATTGCGCGAATTAAATAACAACAAACAGCACATAACCTTCAGAGTATACTACCTCTATAATCACTCATAGCCTATTATTGCTTCTACAAATTCATATGGTCCGTAATTAGAACCTAAGAATGCGTATATAATCATTCATATTACATATTGCTTCGTTCTTTAAAAACATTGGGCAAACTCAAAAATAAAAGACAAAAATATCTATTTCTCTATTTCTAATAGTATTTCTACATTTAAGAGAAACATTTTTAGCAATCTTTGAACTTTCCCTCGTATAATTTTTTAATATTTTTCATGGTTATGTAGTATATGCATGTCTTCCTTGTAAAATAGTTTGTTTAGTTCAGGACCTTTCTGAAAATCACTTCTGATTCACAGCTGAGAAAGCTTCCTGAAATTAAATATTAATTAAAAAAAAGAAAAAGAACTTATGCAATAACTTGAAGCATTATATAACCTTCAGAGTACTGCCCCTATAATCATTCATATGTTATTGCTTCGTTCTATAAAAACATTGCGCGAACTAAATAACTTCAATAATTGATTTTCCACCAGTTCTGATAAATGCCGCTTTCGTTAAAGCTTCACTATTTGTATCATACGCTACAATCAATCAATCAATCAATCAATCAATCAATCAATCAATCAATCAATCAATCAATCAATCAATCAATCAATCAATCAATCAAGCAAGCATTTATTTAAACACGATAATATTTACAGCATTGCTGATGTGGTCGTGCAGTTAAGATATTATCCTATATAGTTAGTATATATTACAAAATCCAAAGTATAAAATATTAATTAACCTATTTTGTTCCTAATTCGTTTCAATATTTCCTCTGTATCTTTGGCTTGGGTAGGTAGAAAGTGTAGAGATTTTAGAAAGTTGAGTTTCTGTGCGAACGACTTCATTACTTCGTTAACATGAGCTTTCCACTTTAGTTTATTGTCAATTTCAACACCAACACACCTTGATTTTTCAACTTGTCTAATGCAATGGTTTACAGCTGTGTAAATTATTATTAATGATAGTGGCTCTGCCTCTGCACGCTCCATTCCACATCATAAAGCATAAATTAATTGCTAATGAAACACTGGTTTCAATGCATACATGCAGGATTGCATATATATAAGTTAATATTAATATACAAATATTTTTTCCCAATTGCGGTGACACAATAGCTTTGTCGGCACAGCGCTGTCAACATTGCCTTAGTTTAACTGCTGAAATCTAGCGTCTAAGGTATCCCTCACTTCCTTCTATTCATAATCCATCCTTAGCCTGCCTTAGGAAAGAATGCCTGCAAAAACTTTTCGTGCGTGGAAATATTTCACCCATGCTTGCTTTTTAATTTTTTTAACGTTGTCTGTTCCTATAATTATATTACAGGCAACTATTATGGATAAATGTGCATAAAACCGATTGTAAACTGTATGCAGTTTCTGCACATTTGTTTATTTATTTATTTAGTTTTGCCAACTATAGGGCAGGGTCACCACAACAGCATATGCCAATTACTGTGGGTCCTTTTTACTTAACCCACCCTGTCAACTTTCACTGTGGGAGGAAACCGGAGTACCCGGGGAAAACCCACGACTTTCGGCAGAGGAAGACTTCTTCATATGAAGACTGGGTTCGAGTCGCATTGAGAAAGTTTTCACTGAGGCTTGAACCTGCAGCCTCAGAGGTGAAAGGCAAGTACGCTAACCACCTGGCCCTGTGGTGTTTAACCAATCTGACCATCCGTCACAGATGGACCGATCGGACGAATCGCACCGATGGACGGATTTTTTCGGGCTATCTTAGGGGTGCCTCTGCCCCCTGCTGTTTACGAATCTGACCATCCGTCACGGATGGACCGATCGGAAGAATGGCACCGATGGACAGATTTTGTGGGGGCTACCTTAGAGGTAACTCTGGCTCCATGGTGTTTCACCAAACTTACCATCCGTCACGGATGGACCGATCGGACGAATCGAATTCGATTTACGCACCCGTGGTTTCAGCATAGTAATAAGACACTCAAATTCTAACAAAGGCTTGATTTCAAAGGGTATATATGTATGTCTATACGGATAGTACAATACCCAAACAGGGTTTGTTTCACGTATCGTTGATTAAGAATCGTGAAGGTCCATTGTCTGCAAATGAAACAAGGATGTTGATCCGTATCCTAATTAGAGTGTGTGGCAGCCGACAATGGCAATAAACACCCCACACGACTTCGAACGTTGCGAATATTATTACAATGTTTTAGAAAAAGAAATGAATAATTAAAATCGCGCAAGTATTTTAGATATTTGTTTGTATTTGTTCATCCAGATTATTTAAAAAAAAGTTTTGTAAACAATCTGGGTGAACAAATACACAAAAAGAGAATAAACCTGATTCAAATGGTCTTAGACGTAATTGCCATTATTCCGCATTTTTCATCCCGTGTCAATCTTGGTGGCTGATACCTGACTGTGGTAGACATTTGTAATAAAGAAACTTACCAGAGAAAGTCAGATGGTCGTCATCAAGAAGAGAAAAACATAGAGCAATAGTAAGCAGATTGAAAAAGTTGTAATTTCCAGTAGCAATAATCAACACTTGGAATAACACCTATACAGGAAAATATTATCCACATTAGAGTTTCTGCTTACGCAGTTTGGATGTATTCGCGCGGAACATTTCGTTCTATCATATCCCGAGTGAAAATACCACTTAAAGGCCGTTTTCCACTAGGCGGAATTTTCCGCGCGGAGCGGAATTTCTCTTTGTCTTGTGATTTCTCGGGTGGAACCAATTGGAAAAGACAAAGAGAAATTCCGCTCCGCGAGGAAAATTCCGCCTAGTGGAAAACGGCCTTCACTAGGCGGAATTTTCCGCGCGGAGTGGAATTTTTCTTTGTTTTGTGATTACTCGGATGGAACTAATTAGAAAAGACAAAGAGAAATTCCGCTCCGCGCGGAAAATTCCGCCTAGTGGAAAACGGCCTTTATTAATAAAGCTGGCTTTCCATTGAGGCCGTTCCCCACTAGGCGGAATTTTCCGCGCGCGGCGGAATTTCTCTTTGCCTTTACTCATTAGTTCCACCCGATAAATCACAAGACAAAGAAAAATTTAGCTCCGCGCGGAACATTCCGTCTAGTGTAAAACGGCCTTTATGCATATAAACACAGTAAACACATAAAATATCTATTTATAGCCGGAATTTAATTTATACTTCTGTAACGAACTATGACCCAAAAGTACAACCAATATTCATGTTTCTTAAGGCCGATTCACACTACATAACATTTGCCTTATTAAGTTCTTTGTATGTTTGCATGGCGATAAAATATAATGGTTTTGTTTGTGGAAACACCACGTAAATTTATTACTGCAGTAATAAATTTACGTGGTGTTTCCACAAACAAAACCATTTTATTTGCCTTGTTGTTGTAAATATCATTGTTTACAACTGTTGATGCATACACTCTTTTGTGAATTATTTGGTTGAACTGCTATAACGACAATAGCTCGCCGACATACCGTAGGTGTACAGGGTGAGTAAAAAAAAACTGACACCTTTGTTATTCCGAATTAGCCGCGAAGGTATCAGTTTTTTTACTCACCCTGTATATGTGAACCAGACTTAAAACTGATATTTGTGGTGTTACTCTGAGTGTATATCCACACCGGGCGAGCTTGAAAAATATGCCCGGCCACGGTGGGATTCGAACCTACGACCTTTGGAATACTAGCCCAATGCTCTTCCAACTGAGCTACGCGGTCAGGAT